TGTTTACAGCATTCCCGGTAAAACCCAACTGTCTTTTTTTTTCTGTAGTCGAATCAATTCTATTGTAAACTGATCTCAACCGATGCAAATCAATCTCAACTTCAGTCTTAATATTTAATCAAATTGTACAACATTACGTAAAATGATGCAGAAAAAAAAAAAAATTTTTAATAACTTCTACTTCCTGTCATAAGCTGCATACTTATCCAAAGTGCTAATATTACCGACCAGAAATACGAAAAGAATATATTCCAAAATTAAAAAGGAACTCGGATGCCACGAAGAGTACTCCATGCAGTGACCGCCACTCCCCCTAATACATAAAATTCCACTTCATTAGCTTCAAAAATGAAAAATAAATAAACCTAAGGAAGTACTCCCGCAGGATATAAACCATACAATTCATAGGCCACTCCTGTCGCCGGATATAACCAATGGAAAATCAGCAAGCGTTGCCGCTAGCATTGTGAAACCCATATTATGTACTAAAATCACAAGAAGCGGTAACCTTTAAAACGCAGATAACGTGTAACCTCTACACGCTTCTTTCACTCATTAGAGATAATCTACCGCTCACCTAGTTCAGATAAAACCAAAAACCCGGTATTTGTGTAACACACTCACCAATTCAACTACAATTGGTCATCAATTCAGCAGTTGCAATTCAAACAAACTGAAGAATGTGAACAAACATGGATAGGATTTTTATCATAATGTGAAACAAAAACCTATGAAAGTGCAAAAACATGCAAAGGTAACACAAATGTATTAATCGTCTAAGACACCGGACAATGCTCTTCAAAAACAAGAACAAGTAAAAATCAGCTTTTGGTGAGATCCGAGAGTGATAACACTGAACGTGCATAAAAATGGAAATGAACATGATAAGCATGGTGAACAATAACAGACGCTTCCAATCACCAACGCAAAATTACATTCCAGCTATATGGGCCAGTGCAAACAGACAGAAAATGTACAGTTCGAATACACATGCTCTACTCATTCAAACGCTTGATAATTATAATGAAAAAGATCCAGCCACATTATCAAGCCATTTTAGCTCCTTTAACATATTCTCTCTGCGATCCACAATTAGATTAAAATAAAATATAACAACTGAAGCTATCGTACAAGACAGTTTTGCGACAAAAATGTTGAGCGCATTGAAAACTGCCTCGCATCGTTCAACAACCGTTCAATCTTTAATATGCCACTGCCCATACTATCAACGAATGCCTTTAGACATTTTTTAGCATCTTGCATCTCCTCACATAAATCTTGCGCATCAAGACGTTGCATGATTTCTTCAGGTGATTCTAGTTTTCTTTTTCCTTTTTCTTCATTGTCGCTTTCCTGTAACCCCAGAAATACTGATCACAGACCAGACTTTTACTAAAGACAATGACACGATCCTAATATAAATTGCAGATTGATCTCCTTTTACAATTACTCTTTTTCTATTAAATTCACCACTATTAATTAAAATCTTATGCTTATGTTTAAATGATAATGTTAGTACACAGCGTCCGTTTTTGTTATGTCTAGTAACTTGCGTAGTTGTTTACCGTGAGAAAATTAGCTTCTTACCTACAAGAATTCATTATCGTTCTTACCTGCTTACTGCTTTCATTCTCTGTATCCTGTGAGCATTGTTCCACCACAGAGTCGATAACGGAACAGATTGTCTCGATCAAATCAGCTGATTCACTGATGTTTTCATTACCAAATCTTTTATGTTCCAGATGCAGAAGCAATTCAAATGTAGAATTAAGCTTAGTTGAGGCAATTTTGGCAGTGGAACTATTTTTCTGTGGATACAAATTGCACATCTGACACTGCTAAAATGGTATTCGGTGGAAAAAATTAAAACTGATTGACTATGGATTCACATTTTGATTCTGAATTATATTTATACAAGTTGGAAGATTCAACGACTATCTAGCTAATGCTTTCATTAAGATGGAAAAAGTACTAGAGAGTTATTTCTATCTTTTAGTAGAAATATTCTTATAACGAACAAACCTTATTATGCGGTAAACCTCCTACGCGTGATGTACCTGCACCGGTTGCGGTGATTGCATCAAATCGACCCCAGTTCAGCGGTACATTTTCTGTATAATATATCTCTACCCAAACGTTTTTATTTACCCAAAATTCGGGCTCAAACATTGGAGGTCTAAATATAATCCGCAAAAATGGATTAGAATCCGGAGCCAATTTAATCAAGCGCTGCATACAAAAAATATCAGTCTGAAATAACAGACCTTCAACAAAACGCTGGTGGAAGTTACAACGAACGACGGCATGAAAATGAATAAAAATTGAATCTTATTTGAATACCTGATGTGTTTCACAAAAGTAATGAGCGGACATCGACATAACTCACATCTGAATGCTTTTCGCAGATTACAACTGTAACATAATGAGTTATATAGTTGCAGTAGAAATCGCAAAAATACATGTTTACACGAGCTGGATCAAGTAGCGTCATTGCCGGCACTAACATTCGAACATTGCCAAAAGGCGAGTGGGTTGGCAAACTTCCGTCAGGTAACAACCGAGCAGAAAAAAACAGACCTATAATTATGTCCTGATTATAGCATAATAGATAAACACAATGCTTTCGTTATAAAATGGTAGACACTTCTTATACTGCAGAAAAACCGCGAGGTAACTCAATTTCGTTTTTGAACAAATCCTTGTGATACACCGCAAGTATGGATACTATGGTCTTTTTGCAATATACAACAGCAGCATTCCTTCTATTTGTGTAGAGCAGTCTATCACACACGAATAGTTCTGCAAATGTTATCACTAAAAGCTGTATGAACTTACCACTTATAGCACCATTAATTGACGACGCTGCCTGACCATTATTATCCTTCATATACTTTTCCATTATTCCACCGCGATGAAACTAATAAAAATTCCGTACACAAGAGAATTTATCAGAAAATTGAACTCCTCTCAGTAATTTATTTGACCTCTACGAGTTTCTATAATCTTTGCTGTCGGATATATCAATTAGTATTATAAGAACAAAATTTCATCGAAACATGACCACAAAGTACTACTA